TCGGTGTCGTTTAGGTTCCCATCCATGTTTGAGAGTGTTGGTGTAGCACCGAGTGCTGGCATTTGTGCGGCACTCGTTGCGGGTGTCAGTATCATTCCGACTATGATCGTACACTGGCAAGGACGGAGCTGGCGTCCGCCCATTGAAGAGTAAACCGATGACACGAATCCCTTTTCATCCTCATTTGCGTTGTTCCTCCTTTAATTCCAACTTTGCATATATTTTTTCCTCAGAGTCGATTTGGCGTGTTGCTTTCGGAGACGACCTTGGCGAGTATAGACCTTCTAGATGTTAGATATAGATGGCGAGCATGTATATAGACATATAACGATATGAGCGTGCACAGCAGCGAAGCAACCAAAGACACAATATATGAATCTGAAACCTCGATCGAAGTGAACAAGAATTGAATACAACAAAAAGAAAAGATAATCGGCAGAAGTATAGTATAGTATAGAAGTATAGAAAAAGAAGACCTCAAGCGAAAGGGAAAAAAGAAAAAGGAACCAAAGATCCCAGGGGATTAAGAGTTTATCCCTCCCAGGTCCCGCCGTAGTTATATACTCACTCCGAAAAGAGGTAGGATGGGAATGGAACTAAACCCACATTGAAAAAATTTCGACATAAGTTTTTCATTAGTAGATAACTATTTGATGGATCACGGCAATTTCAATTCGAGAGCTGCCAAAGCGATTCCCCCCGAAAAAGTGGCCCGTCCGATACTATGGTTTGATAGTATCGGCAAAGCGAATGGGGGAATGTAAATGAATAGCACCCGTAGTGGTGTGGTTGTTGCTGCTAGTGTCAGACCACGCCTACATTGTGCAGTTACTGGCCCGATCGGCTGGCCCGATGTCCGCCGATGTTAGCTGCTATCGGGAAGGATTCACGGCGTCCGGTTCGCTACTTGCGCCTTTACGGGATGCTTGCACGGGATTTATTATTGCATTGCCGGGATGTCTTTATTTTTTATCACTCGTTTATTTCGATAAATTATGTTATTGCTATTGTAGACATACAAATCTATACCTTTACTGATCTACCAGCTGTCAGGAAGAATTCAGCACATGGCCCGATTACTTGGCTTTCTCAAGCTACTAGACAACTTGCTGACTGGCCAGCAATGCAAGGTTACTCCCGGAAGTTAACCACAAAACTCCGGTTCGGACTGGTCACGCAGTGCACTCGGCATAGTAGCGGTATTGATTTACTCCGCTAGGATAAGATTTTATCCTCTCCTGCAGATGTTGACTGATTTTGTGTATGTGAATCGGCAATTCGTGGTGCAGTCTTTGAGTAGCTTGCATTCTGAGGACGAGTTTCGTTTATCCATCCCATGCAGTGATGGTAGTGAATGGATGGCTAAGGAGTTACACGGGGAAGAAGACTACGTGGATTATACGGATTTTTGTTGTTGCTTCCAGGATGGTTTCTGGGTCCTTAAGAATGGGTAATCTAGTGCCTGAGGCTTTTACTTAAAATTGGTGTGCTGGGATCAGGCTTAACACTTTCCTCCTTGTCAGCTGCCTTCTTCTCCTGGCTTCTGTCCTGGCTTCCGGCCTGCAGCAGCTAGCTGCAAATGCATGAGTCCTGGGCAAAAGCTTGAAAGTGGCTGATTGTGGGGACCTTAGTCAGCGTGGGGTGTGGATGTGGGTGGGAGGCAAACCACCCACATCTGTTGAGTTGGAGGATTATGGCGACAATGTGATGACTCCTTGCATCAGACTTGTCACCTGGCTTCATTATAGTTACGCATCCAATTATACATTGGAACAATGAACCTGTTCATTGGTATCCGTACAGTATATACATCTCTATGCTATTCTTGTATAGTAGTATGTCTCATCATAATCCGTAAATCCCCACCCGTCTCATAGTACCATTATCATAGTGTTCATGCCTGGTTCTCAATCTTCGTGATGAGAGTGCCGACGTGAGGCTGCAGCTCGACGGCGAACTCGTCGCCGTGCTTGAAGAACTCCTTGGGGTTCTTGGCGGCGCCAACACCGGGGGGAGTACCGGTGAGGATGATAGTACCGGCAGGCAGGGTGGTGCCCTGGGACAGGAAGCTGACGAGCTGGGGCACGTTGAAGATCAGGTCACTGTTCAAAGTTGCTGGTCAGCTTTTGTTCTTGATACACACAATTTGAATGGTAAAAGGGGAAGACATACGTCAAGGGGCAATCCTGAAGGACCTTTCCGTTCTTCGATCCACGAATGTGGAACTTGCTGGCATCGGGAACCTGGGCAGCGGAGACAAGGACGGGACCTGCGAAAGTTCATCCATCAGCACGAAAAGCAATATCACCTTTATAACAGGCAAACTGTACCGATGGGGCAGGAGGTGTCGAAGCCCTTGGAGAAGCACCATTGGCTCTGGTTCATCTGGTAGGTGCGGCTAGAAATGTCGTTGGCCGCGGTATATCCGAGCACGTAGTCGAGGGCCTCGGCCTCGCTGACATCCTTCGCATCACGGCCGATCACAATGACCATCTCTGACTCGTAGTCACCCGTGTTGTCGATCTGGGTGAGCTTGGGCAGAACGGTCGGGGCGGGCCAGGGGTCCGACAGGGCAGTCGAGGGCTTCATGAAAAGAGTGGGAACATCGGGGATAGACAGCTTCATCTCAGCGGCGTGGGAGACATACTGCGCGATCGGTTAGTTTCTTGCGCCTTCGCTGGACAGCTATGCTGCGATCAATGTTGAACCTACGTTCAGTCCAATGCATCTGATGGAGCCGACTTCGCTCTGCGCCAGGGGCGAGAGAACGCGCTCAATGGTCTCGGTCGAGTCGGTCTTCTGGCCGGGGCTGAGGACGGAGCTACCGGAGAAAGGGCGCACAGCGACATCCTTGCCCTGGTAGACGGCCAATCCAACATCCACGGCGGCGTCGACGGGCTCACCGATCAGAACCTTAGAAGGGTTCGACTTGGGGACGAAGCGCACGAGGCCTAGATAGCGTTAGCAACACAGCTGCAGAAGCAAGGTCGTGTCCACATACGCGAGAAGGTAGATGCGACCTTGGACATGATGAGTTTTTGTGAAGAGGAAGGAGGAATTGATGAACAACAGAAATGCAAGTCAGGGAGCAGGGATCAATTGAGGCGCTGTCTCTTTTGAAGTACGCTCACGGGATATTTCTACCCCGATATCGTCGCGGGGTGCAGTTCTGGTGGCCGGCCGGGAAGCTCAATGCGCGCGGGGTGGGGGGGCAAGCAAAGTGGGAGGGGCAATCCCTCAACTACCTTTGCCGGTGGGAACCGACCCGTTTCTCAGCAGCCAGTCCGCATTCGACTTCCTTCGCAGGAACCAAACACTTGCTCCCCTCCAGGACTTAACTTCAACGCTTTCGATTTCCGAGCGTCGGGCGAAAGCCGGCGGCGAATACGCTAAACAGCCCACTTCCCCACGACAACGTGGGGATGTCGCCCGCGGCTTGTCGTGCCGGTTGAACTGCGAAATCGCATGCTCTCCGTTTAAAAGCGAACAGTGTCGCAGTCGTCGAGTCTGTTTCAAGTCATTCAGAAAACTACTCTGCACATAACCTGTCACAATGTCTGCTCCCAAGGGACCCTTCAAGCTCGTCACTGTCAACACCGCTCCTGAGAGAGCCAAGCGCCTCATTGGACGGGTTGCTGAGGCCCTTTCGGACCGTTACACCATCATCCACATTGACAACTGCGAGAGTAAGTACCTGTGACTTTGAAGTTCTTTGCGGGACTTAGTGATGGTTGATACTAACTGAGCTTGCGAACAGAGATCGAGGAAGTCGAGTCCAAGGTCAAGCAGCACATGCCCGATGTCCTGGTACGTTCTCTTCATTCGAGCTTCCTCTGCAATGCGGGGTAAAGCGACTACGGTTATGATGGCTCGTGTCTAACTTCCTCTGCAGTTCAGCGCCTCCATGTGGTCCGCCGAGCAGGCCAACGAGATCCACTCCATTGCCCGGTCGATCAAGCCCGACATCAAGCTGCACGCTATCCCCGAGGGTCTCCAGGTCGAGCGCGGCCCCGACGCCATTGTTGAATACCTTTGCGAGAAGGTCCCTCCTCTTCTGGACGCCTAAATATGAGGTGTCAGTGTACCAATTTTAGGAATAAGCGGGGGATATCATGGTGGATATGACGACGATATCTATGTCTTGTATATACATTTACTTCGATGAAGCTCCTGGAATAGACGATTTACGATTCGAGTGTTGAATAGTGAAAGGAGAGCCACCCTAGAGCGCGCATTTAGACGTGACAAGTACATCTGTGGGACAACGGGGCTGTCTCGCAGACTTCTGTAAACTTCAGCTAAATCAGTGTGACCTGGAAGTAGCGGAGTCAAGCTGGCGTGTGCAGTATGAAGATGGGCTCCTGCCAAATGTGTTGTTCTGACAGAAGAACCAAATCAGCCGTGATCACCATCTCAGTTTGCGGATCGTAAGTCCCGGATTCAATTTCCCGGCTGTTTTCGCGTCGTACGATCAGCTAGAGGCCTAAGCGTAAATGGGAAGTGCGCTGTTGCAGCGAGACACTCCGACTAATATCCGGAGTGAGGGGTCCAGCATAATCCCATCATTGTTCGTTGGAATTGGGTGAATCGGCAGTAGGGAGCGATGATGCAATTTATCGATATATATTTTGACCCGAGATCAGATAAGATCCAAGTAGTACTCAAGCCTCTACCAACCACTACCACAATCATCCATCATTAATGCAATTCCAGCAGTACAACTTAGCACAAACCAAAACCATCCCCAAAGCAAAAAGCAAACGACAATCCAACTCCGACATATATACCCCTGTCAAGCCAAGACATCCGGATATTGCTGCACGACAATCCCATTAAGCCGACGGGACAACGGCAAAACCACCTCCCCAGCTGCTTAGTCATATCCCCAAGGCAGCTGCTGATCTTCAATGCTTAAATGCACCAAACTCAAGATAAACCCTCAGATCAATCGCAGTCCTCAGATAGCATCGTCATCACCATCATACTCGCCACTCATAATCATGCTCCAACCAATCCGTACGACCTTTCGAAGCGCCGCCCAGGGCGCCCGCTTATTCTCCACATCACGAGGCCTCCGAACAGACCTGTCCTACCAGGTGTTTGGGCCCGAGAAAGCCGATGTTATTGATCGGAGTCCCATCATCTTCCTTCATGGGCTGTTCGGCTCGAAGCAGAACAACCGGGGTATTAGCAAGTAAGCATTCTATTTGTCAATCAATTGTCCTCAGATGACGAACATCCCGATGAAAAGGAAAGCTACTAACCATGATGCAGGGCACTGGCACGTGATCTGAAACGTGAGATCTTCACTGTGGTGTGTAACCAGTTATGAAGAAGAAGAAATTTGGAATCAAAACAGTGATTCATATTTGTGTTTGTTCTTTCAGGATCTCCGAAACCATGGCCAATCCTTCCACGCCCAAGAACACAACTACTCCGTCATGGCCGAAGACGTGATCAAGTTCATCCAGCAGCTGAAGCTAGACAAGGCCGTTCTGATCGGCCACTCGATGTACGTCATATCATACTACACATGTCTCCGATTCTCCACAAACATTCCGCGGAATGCATATCAAGAAAAACATAACCAGACAGCTAAACTAATGGATAACAACAAACAGGGGCGCCAAAACCGCCATGACAGTTGCCCTCGATTCACCCAAGCTAGTCTCGGCTCTTGTACCGGTTGACAACGCCCCCGTGAATGCACCCCTGAAGAGCGATTTCGGCCTCTACGTTCGTGGCATGCAGCATGTCGAGGCTGCTAACGTGACGAAGCAATCCGAGGCTGATGAAATTCTTAAGGGATATGAGGAGGTAAGTACGAGTAATGAATGAATGCAAACTGAGCCCAATGTGTGCACATAACAATCAACTAAACTAATATCCGACAGTCCCTCCCCATCCGCCAATTCCTCCTCACCAACCTGGTCCGCTCGACAGAAGACCAAACCATGAAATTCCGTGTCCCGCTCGCCGTCCTTGGCGAAGCCATTCCCGGTATGGCTGATTTCCCGTACCGGGAGCCGGGATCTGTCTCGTATGAGGGCCCTACGCTGTTTGTGAGGGGCACGAAGAGCCGATATGTGAGCGATGAGTCGGTGCCGACGATTAAGAAGTTCTTCCCCAATGCTAGCGTTGCGGATGTGGAGGCCGGGCATTGGTTGATTTCGGAGAACCCGGAAGGGTTCAGGCAAGGTGAGTAGTAGTATTTGATTATATCCATCTATCTGGTTGAGTAAGATGATTTGCTAATGTGTGCGCTTTTTGCATAATAGCTGTTCTGAAGTTCCTTCAGGAGGCTCCTTGATTGATTGCTACAGTCATGCTTTGTTTGATGGTTGGATGTATAGACAGACAAGACAGAACTGACTCAAGACTCCACTTGTACATTCTTGCTTATGTGCAGGTCCCTTTTCCCCCTACCTCCGTGACCTTGAAAAAAAAAGAAAAGACTATTGAACAGAAGAAAGTAAGGGAGGTCTGGGCTTACGGCGCCCAGGACCACAAAAGAGTGGAGGAGAAAAATAAAAGAAAAAGAATTATTGACAAAGTGGATATCCAGCAGAATTGAAACCAACTTTTCCTTCTTTCTTCAAACTAACGACTGATTCATAACATTCGTAATCTCGTGATGCGTACTGCCTCAAAATGCGCCCTCCAGGGGGTCAACTTTCAGCCTGATACACCTTACCCCCCTCCCTTCAGTCAATCGTTATTATGTTGCCTGAAGCCTGCGGTCCTTTATTCTTTTGTAATTTCCGCTTCTTTCCCTTCTTTTTCTTGCTTTTCCTGTCGTTTGATGGCCCGGCGTCTCCTCCTGCAGCAGAGCCTGCAGCATTGGAATTCGGTGATTCGGGCCGGCTTAAGCTGGAACGATCTTCGTCTGATGCATTATTAGATGTAACAGGCCGTTTTCTCTTCCTCTCTTTTAGGGCGCGCGCTGGGGTTGTTTCAGCCATGCTCACAAACCTGGAGACCTCGGAATCCTGATCGTTGGCTTCATCCTCATCTTTCATGGCATCGGGATTGTCTTCTTGCTGAGGGGGCGCTTCTAGTTGTGGGGGTTGCTGGCTGCTCTCGACCAGTTTCATTAGGCCATCCACCCTTTCAGTTAGACCTGTAAGATTCTTCGACATCGAGCCTTCCAGAAGTTTATGTTCTTCCACAACAGTCTGAAATTTTTCGAGCGTGGAGGTTTCAAGTTGACAAACACGGTCAAGTACTGCTTTGAGCTCGTCTGGACAGGCTTTCAACACGTTCAAATCGTCTTCATTGCTCGATTGGATCTCACAAAGTTTCTTTGCGAGGTCTTCTTGAGCTTCGACAAGAGCTTTGAGCTGATCGTGTTCCTCCTGGGTTTTGACGAGTCTCCCAGCCAATGTTTTCTGTTCGTCAATCAAAGACTTGATTTGCCTCCGTATCTTGTCTTGTTGAGAATCAGAGAATTTATCGAGTAGCTTCTTCTGTTCATCTGCCAGAGCCCTGACCTGATCTTGCAAGCCATCCTCCCGATATACAGACAGACTTTTTGCCAGGGTTTCCTGCTTATCAGCTAGCTCCTTAACTTGGTCTCTCCAATCGTCATTCTGCGAGTTGCTGAAGCCCTTCATTAACTCCTCCTGTTTCACAGCAAGGGCTCGGACTTGATCCGGTAGATCATTGGTCTTCTGAAATTCAGAACATATCTTCTCAAGTTCCGTTTGCCTTTCGGCAATGGCGTGGAGCTGCATGTGCAGGTTGTTTCTGCCCGTTGTTAGATCGTCGTGGAGCAGTTGATCCTTTGCCTCGCGCGACTTCACGTATCCGTCGAGTTTGTTGGTATGTTCATCAATCTTTGCCGCCAGAGATGTCAGATCGTTCTGCATTTGCCGCAGATCATCAGCGGTGAGCCAACGGTTCTGGTTTTGAGCGGTAAGTCGCTCCCAGACCGGGGCGAGCGACTGGGAGAGGTTGGTCTGTTGGCTCCTCAGGCGATTGATCTCTTCCATTCTCAAAGCCATGTCTTTCTGTGTCTGTTCCACCAAATTCACCTGATGCACGTGCAGACGTTCCGTTATCGCTTTCAAAGGAGGAACATCCCGCTCAAACCATGCTCTAATAAGATTTATTTGTTCTGTCAGCTGCGCGGTTGATGGGTACATCTCTTGCATAGCCACCACCATGTGTTTCACAATGGTATCCGTAGATAGATTGTTGTAGCGAGTTTCGAGGGAATGTAATGCAACTCTCAAAGTTTCAACCATATTTTGCATGTTCATAAGTCCGGACGCAATCCCTTGAATATGCGCCTGAACCCCAGCGGGGTTTGCTACTGCTTGAGCTTGGCTCAGGCCTTTCAGCTCCTCACTGACCCGGGCATAGTCGCTCCTGATCTGTTCGAATTCTTGGGCGCCTCTATCCCACACCTTCTTGAGATCTTCGATTTCCTTGAATTGGAAGTCGTCTTTCATCTGTTGTATTGTTTGCAGTCCTTCGAGCTGATCTTCCATTTGTTTGATGCGACGCTCGTGCTGTCCCGAGAGTTCCGCTTCCAGCTTTTGCAATCGGGACGCCAGTTCTTCAGACATGGCTGAAGGCTCAGGCGCAGTTACTGCAGCAGGGGAGGGGAGCCGGTTATTCTTCTCTTCGACCGAAGTTAGGCGTGCAGTAAGCGATGTCAACGATCGTGTGTTCTCCATGCTCCGGGTGTCCTGTTGCCGGCGATGATCGTCCATACTCTTGTTCATCTTATTCAAATAATCGGAGCATTCACGTTGAGACTTCTGCAAGACTTCGATCTGCCTGGTCAAGTCCGAGGTCTGCTTCCTTAACTGATCCATCTGTGTCTTGGAAGCGGCCGAGTTGATTTCTTGCTCCTTCGATGCGAACGTGGTTTCCAGATCCGCGGTTATTTTGGTGACACGCTCCGTATTCTCTCTGGCAAGTTTCGAGTGATATGAGGTAGCCTTCTCAAGCGAGTTAACCCTATCTTGCAGGCTAATGAACGAGCCGACCTTGTCCTGCACTGCCGACATCTTGCCCTCCAGGTTGATGTTGTAGTCATGCAGCCTTATGATATCCTTCTTCGCATTTTGTACCTCACTTTGTAATTGATTCACCCTGTTTAGGGGCTCCAGTGACATGATCGAGCTAAATTTGGCTTTCAAAGCATTCTCCAGGTCTCTGTAGTCGTTGGCATGCTTCTCGAGGGATTTATCAAGCTGAGCCAGATCAGCGTCCTCTTCCTCCTTGGACTGCTGGAAAAAGGCTGTAGTGGACGGAAAGCTAGAGTGAACTTTAGCTTTCCTAAGCAGGGCATCGGTGGCATCTCTCTTCTTTTTAAGCCTCTCCTGTTCGGATTTGCCGTTGGCAGCAATCACGGCGGCTTGGACCAGGTCGGAGATCCCACGTATAAATTGATCGGCAGTAGCATTTTGGGCATCGACAGGCGAGGAGCTTCCGACCGTCTGGGATCCAGGTCTGAAGCGCGTAGGGGAGGCGCTTGAAGTAGCATCCACAGAGGGAGGGCGATTCAGGGGCGGCCTGGCTAAGGGCCTGGCGAGACGGGGGTCACGCGTAGCACCGGCGTCTGTATCCATATCACGACGTCACAAGAGTTCAGTTGGCCTGACAATCAAATCCAATTATTTGACAACATCCCATGTGCCTTGCGTAACGTAGATGAAGGAAGCCAGGAGGGGAAAATAAATAAATAAGGGGTGGGAGGAGGGGCTTGAGGTAAGACAAGTACACGATAGATAGAAAAGGTAAATGTGATTGATTGAATTCAAGCCCCAAATGGAAAACGGCCTACATTAACGTAATGAGTGGGAATGAAGACGACGCGATGGCAACCGCGACATTGGCGGGACAACGGGGGAATAGAGAAGGTCGACAGGCCGAGTCCAGACACATATCATTCTCCTATTGTTCTATATGTATACTTTGAGCGAAAGGTGAATGCGCAACTGTCAATGAGGGGACAAACGGAGATTTCCTGGCGCAATCAAACCAAACCCCGTTTGCGCTTAAAAAACACGCGCCGGCAGAAAAAACGGTCAATCGCTCTTTTTGCCGGGCGGCCTGCAAGGCGGCTTCCCGGCCAGCAGCTCTTTCGCCTGCTCTTCCACTCCGCGCTCTCTCAGGCTGGCCAGACCTCTCCATTTTTGGCTGCTTTCCTTGAACCTCGTGACTGTTTTCTGACCTGACGATATACTTACGATCTGCAAGTTGTCGCGATGGCTGCTGTAAGTTTCAATCTTGAAGAAATGCGTGGTGTTTGTCACCGCTGACTCTCCGACAGCCAATTTCTACCGTCGCGGAGACCAAGGAGCTCCGGGGTCTCAACCTCATCGCTGCTCATTCACACATTCGAGGACTTGGTGTCGATGCAGACAGTCTACAGCCCAGGGCATCCTCCCAAGGGCTGGTGGGCCAGGAGAAGGCGAGGAAAGCTGCCGCCGTAATCCTGCAAATGGTCAAGGAAGGCAAGATTGCCGGTCGCGCGTTGCTGATTGCTGGCCCTCCCAGCACTGGTAAAACAGCCATCGCCATGGGTATGGCGCAATCCCTCGGATCCGATGTCCCCTTCACAATGCTCGCAGCGTCGGAGATCTTCTCCATGGAGATGTCCAAGACTGAGGCGCTCACACAAGCCTTCCGCAAATCGATTGGCGTTCGTATCAAGGAGGAGAGTGAGATCATCGAGGGTGAAGTGGTTGAGATTCAGATTGACCGCAGTGTTACTGGTGTAAGTGAGGTCTCGGGCGAGCTCTCAATGATGAGTTTCTGACATTCGCGATTTCTTAGGGAAACAAACAAGGCAAGCTCACCATCAAGACGACCGACATGGAAACGATCTACGACATGGGAACAAAGATGATCGACTCAATGACCAAAGAACGAGTGATGGCCGGTGACATTATTTCCATTGACAAATCTTCGGGCAAGATTACCAAGCTGGGACGTTCTTACGCTCGGTCGCGCGACTATGATGCGATGGGAGCTGACACAAAGTTTGTCCAATGCCCCGAGGGTGAACTCCAGGTTCGCAAGGAAATCGTGCATACCGTTAGCCTTCACGAGATTGATGTGATCAACTCGCGGTCACAAGGATTCTTGGCTCTCTTCTCTGGAGATACCGGTGAGATCAGGAGTGAAGTGAGGGATCAGATTAACACCAAGGTGGCGGAGTGGAAGGAAGAAGGAAAAGCCGAGATCATTCCGGGTGTTCTCTTCATCGATGAAGTGCACATGCTTGACATTGAATGCTTCTCTTACATCAACCGCGCTCTAGAGGCGGAACTGGCACCTATCGTCATCATGGCTAGCAACCGGGGCCACGCCCGGATTCGTGGTACGACATACAGCTCTCCGCACGGCCTGCCCCTTGATTTCCTCGACCGCGTGGTGATTGTCAGCACACAGCCCTACTCTGCCGATGAGATTAGGCAGATTCTGGCGATTCGCGCTCAAGAGGAAGAGATAGACCTTTCTCCGGACGCTCTGGCGCTGCTCACCAAGATCGGCCAGGAGTCGAATCTACGCTATGCCAGCAATATCATCACCACCTCTCACCTGCTCAGCCAGAAGCGCAAGGCGAAGGAGGTTAGCATTGATGACGTCCAGCGCAGTTACCGGTTGTTCTACGACCCTGCACGGAGTGCCAAGTTCGTCAGCACATACGAACAGCGTTTCATCGGCGATCAAGGTGCCGTCAGCTTCATTGCTCCTACGAACGGTGATGCGATGGAGCTTTCATAGTCCTTTCTGCCATAGAGATTTTCAATGACTCTTGGTGCGTGGGAAGCCTCTGCCATGACTAGACGGCACTGAGGCATGGATTGCAAGGCCTACGGAGGACCATTTCCCGTCTTTTATATTGTTCGGTTTTCGTTTACCAGATGAATTGCTTGGTGTATGATAATGCTGGCGCTTTTTCAAAACACATCTGCTGTGGGTACTGCGATATTTGGGTCTCAACTTTGAACAAAGAGCCTAGGCTCGAATGATAATGATGCAATTAATGTTTCCCAGCATATGGTATTCGTAAATGCCAGTAGACGTAAGTTTGTACGATGTTTATGCAAATGTTGCTTCTTTCTGCCACTGACCGGTGTCTGTCCTTCGGAACTCGACACCTTCGCCAAAGTAGCCCGCATTCTTCCACGACTCCATCGTCGCACTATCGTATGGACCATGTGTGACGCCGCCATCACGGGCGTCCGCCCACCGAAACTCCCACATCGTAGGAGCTCCTTCACTGGGCCTTGAGTCCCCAAGAGACGGGTCAACCCAGTCCTCCCCGGTTTCACGGCGGTATTGCCTAGTGAGCATCTCGCGTTCAGTGTCGTAGATATCCGCCTGCCCTCTCGTCATGAGAATATCGGCTGCGCCTGTGATAGCATCAATTGCTTGCTTTCTAGCCGTTTCCTTGGGATCCTCTTCGGCCATCTCGGTGTCCTCGTTTGCAGTTTCTTGCTTTTTCCGATTCTTGTTGCGATTCGCCTGCCATTTAGGTTTCTTTGGAGCTCCCTTGCCAATCCTTGCCAGCGCTTCCAGGATCGTCTCGCCTCGATCGAGGTGTGAGATAATGGTCTTCAGGGCGTCTGATGTCAATACACTGTCATCTTGCCTATCCTTTTCCTTTCTCTCCTCCTCTCGTTTCTCTGCAGCCTCTTTGGCGCGACGGATGTCCTTCTTTGACACGCCTTCTAACCAGCTGTCATAGACCGCATCCGGGTCTGCTGCTTTTCTGATGTAGTTGCCTTGATCGTCGAATCTGCCCTCCTCTTGTTCGGTGCGCATATTGAACGCGTCCAGTACGGGCGCATGCTTTTTCTTTGCGCCAGCGCCAAGCTCTTCATCCAGTTCCTCGTCCAGTTTTGCGCGCTCCTCATCTCCAACCTCACTTTCGCTCTCGTCTTCTTCATTGTCAACCTCGTCGGCGCCTTTGCTGAAATCTGCATGTACAGTGCCTCCGCCTTTGGATGACGCGACTTGGCCCTCGATTTCGTCGTCTCGTAGGAATCGCACCGTTTTCTTGTTCTTGCGCATGGCCTCATCGGCGTCGACTTCTTCTGCACCAAAATCCTCCTGCAATTCGGCAAACATATCGTCATCTTCTGCATCGTGCTTCTCTTTGCTTGCTTTCGACTTGGCCTCGATGCGCGCCGAAAATCCCTCATTTTCACTGTCCGAGTCGTAACCGTCAAGGTTGACAGCTTTGCGGCGAACTTGTTGTCCACGGCGTCCTATTTCGTCTGCGTCCAAAACTGCATCGTCTTCGAGGGCATCGGGGGCAAGGGCGGAGGGATTCCGCAAGTCGAAGCGAGGCTTCTTGGAGGCACCGTTCACGTCGTCATCTTCGTGGTGGTGGGTGCGGGTGAAGTCTTCACCCGCTCGCTTGGGGCGTGGCTGAGAGGCGGACATGGAGTTGCGCAGTAGATATGAGGTGTCTCTTGGATTCTACGGATCCTTCCGGGACATATGCATCGAAGTTCGTAGTAATTATTGGCTCTGGAGAAGTCAAAATGAAGAATTCCAGCAGAGTGGTTGCGCAGAGCAAATGGAGCTGTCTGGGGTCGGGTCGGAAAATCATCGCGGCGGCGTTTGCGTCACTGCGATCTGATCGCTCCGTTCGTTCCTGACCTTCACCCGAACAGCTCTCCCTGCTAGCTTCTTCCCTGCTTTCTCGCCACCACAGCGGATTGCATCCTATTTGCTACTGACTACAGCTAAGATTGTAGCGAAAACGGGTGATATCAGTTGATCCTCATCTGAAGACCTATAGGGTACCACTCTAGCTCGGATCATGGTGAGTTCCCCGCTTAGGCGCCGTGATGTACTTGGGTGTGTACATGCTGATACCCTAATGATGATAGTTTCGATCTGGCTATTGGGATGACGATCCAATGAACGGAGTCATGGGTGGCTCCATGTTCCGCCATGGAGCTGCTCGTCGCTTCGATGAATACTATCGCTGCTATCCTGTCGCCATGATGCCCGGCCCGGAGAGAGAGAACGTGAACCACGGCGGCAAGGTCATCATGCCGCCCAGCGCTCTTGACAAGCTCACTCGCCTTCATATCACGTATCCGATGTTGTTCGAGCTTCACAACGGCGCACGAGAAAGGTTGACGCACGCTGGTGTGCTAGAGTTCATTGCGGAAGAGGGGAAGATCTATCTACCTTTCTGGGTAATGTCGTCTTATGATAGGTACTCTGCAGGATACTGACTGGTTGATCTCCCGCAGCTCATGCAAACCCTCCTTCTGGAACCCGGTGACCTCGTACAGGTCAAGTCAACCGATCTCCCACCCGGTCAATTTATCAAGCTGCAAGCTCAATCTACCTCGTTTCTCGATATAAGCGACCCGAAGGCCGTGCTGGAGAATGCTTTCCGTAACTTCTCCTGCCTAACCAAGGGAGATGTGTTCACATTTGCATACAATGATCAAGTTTACGAGATGGCAGTCTTGGAAACCAAGCCATCCACCGACACCAATGCCATTTCCGTGCTCGAGACAGATCTAGAAGTGGACTTTGCGCCCCCGGTGGGCTATGAGGAGCCTCAACGCCCCAGCGGCACCAGCACTCCTCGTAGTGGAGTGGGCAACAAGCTGCCCTCTGGTGGGCTGCTTCATCCCCATGGAACCATGGCACAGGCGATCAACTACGCTGCTATTGCCCCGGAGTCGACTGATGCCGCGGCTGGTGCCCGGGCGGTCTCGTCAAACTTCCTCACTGGAGGACAGCGTCTGAATGCCAAGAAGGGAAGCAAAACATCCACACCAAAACCATCTACTCCCACCCCAGGGACGACGAACCCGCAGCATCCCCCTCCTGTCAGGAAGACCAATGGCCCGCAGCCTCTGCGGATAGGCCACAACCAGCTATTCTTTGGATATCCAATCAAGCCAGTCAAAAAGCGCGACGAGAGCGGACAGGTACTCGAGGACAAGCCTCGGTTCCAGGGAGCTGGTCAAACGTTACGAGGAAAGAAGAAAGATACAAGTGGCTCGGCAACCCCTACTTAAGATAACACCAGACAAGGCTGGATTAATGAACGCCGATCGGCTATGAGAATATGGGTCTCCCTTGCAAAGTATAGGGGAAGCAGCCCCTGATCATTCTACCAGGACACGACCGCTGGCTTCCCAGGCACGCTATATTTAAGTCATTGGATGGGCTATAGAAGGCAGCGCGAAAGCGTAGGACGGGAATTTAGAGCATAGCGGGGACAGGCGTTAACGAGGCTATTTCGAACACATCAGGCTTGATCCACTTGCAATGCCAACACTACTTGATAGGATGTATCTATCTATCTATCTATCCATCGCTAAGCCATGAACTGGCCGTTTCTTGGCGACGGGAGACGGACCTGCAAAGTACCACTAAAGTGACTAAAACGGCACTAGAAGTAGAACAATTAACCGCGAGGCTCGACAGCTTTTTCCCCGGCCGAAGATCGGCAGATTCCCCGGAAATCATCCAGGAACCGAACCAGACAGATCTGAAGTGATAAGCAGATCTATTCCATTCCCTTGTGTTACGCTCAAAATCTACTAAGTCAAATACCTCACCTCACCTCACCCCCAACCCACTCCATACCCTTCCACTCACTACACTCAATCAACCACCATGTCATCCCAACCCACCATAGACATGACCTCCCTCCCCAAACCCATAACCCTCTCACCAACAATCCACGTCTACGACCCTCTCACCCCCGAATCCACCAGTACCAGCAACAACGCACCACAAACAATCATCCTCGCCTACTGGATGAATGCCCCCCAACGGGCCCTCACAAAATACACCACCCAATACCGCACCCTCTACCCTAGCGCCCGCATCCTGACTCTCCAAAGCAGCACGGGTGACTTTATGCGCCTCCCTTCACTACTATCCACCTTCGCAAGCACGTCAAACAACGAAAACAGCAACACGAATCCTACTCAACCAGCCCTGGACTACCTCCTCCACCACCACCCACCAACCAACACCCCCAGAGAGAGTGAGAGTGAGAGAATCCACATCCACCTCTTCTCCAACGGCGGCGTTTATACAACCACGACTCTCCTCTCCTCCTACAAGTCCACAACAGGACACACCCTCCCCATCACATCGCTGCTCATTGACAGCGCGCCTGGGAAACCATCACTGATTGGTGCGTTTCGCGCGTTCTCGTTCGGTCTTCCCAAGAATGTTGTCCTGAAGTGGGTGGGGATGTTGTTGCTGGGGTGTATGTTGCTGGTGATGTTTGGGATGAGATGGGTGGTTGGGAGTGAGGATGGGGTTAGTAAGGGGAGACGATTGCTGAATGATAAGAGTGTTGTTGGGGAGGGCGTGAGACGGTGTTATATTTATTCGGAGGGGGATGGGTTGGTGGATTGGAGGGATGTGGAGGAGCATGCGCGGGAGGCGGAGAGGGTATTTGGGGATGATGATGGTGGTGTTGTGGTGAGGAGGGAGAAGTGGGGGAGGGGTAGTGGGCATGTTGAGCATATGAGGGTGGATGCGGGGAGGTATTGGAGGGTTGTTGGGGAGGTTGTGGAGGGGAGATCATAAGAATGAAGAAGATATTCTAGATGATTTTATGCCAGTTACGGAAGATGGTGGCGATGTTTACTGCATATCTGCAATAAGATTTAGAATAAGTCGACCGACGATCGCCGAGCGCTATGCATGCAACAAGAAGCAAAGAAAAGACACATCCAGAACCGGCTTTTATGTACACACTCCGATGAACCAAATGAAACGCCCAACTTTTTATTCTTCTTTCCACTCATCAATTGTTGTGTTTGTTGTGGTGTTTGTTCATTTCCTCTTGATCCATATATCCTGGCCTATCATCACTGAGACGTAATAGGAGGACAGCTTACCGCCCCTTCATCTCAGGAAACTCATCATCAAGCTTCAATCTCGCCGTAACATTCATACTCATCAACTCCTGAATCAGCAGCTTCGCCGCATACGGAATAGCCATCTTCACCACGCTCCGGGACGACTTGCACCGCTGACACCAGTTCAGGTAACCCATGAAACCGCACTGCTCGCAGACATCGATCTCATGACGATCAGAAGAGATCATCAGACGCTCCAGCAGGAGCTGACTAGTACCATACGCAATCAAACAATCACGTTCCATCTCTCCCAGACGCAGACCACCGTCACGGGAACGACCTTCCGTGGGCTGACGGGTAAGGATAGCGCGAGGACCACGAGCACGCGAGTGCATCTTATCCTGGACCATGTGCTTCAGCTTCTGGTAGTAGATGGGACCCGTGAAGACGTAGAAGGGCAGGGCCTCTCCCGTGATACCCGAGGTGAGGTAGTCCTTTCCACCGTAGCTGAAGCCGTTGTCGATAAGGATCTGGGACATTTCCTGGACGGGACTGCCGCCGAAGCAAGTACCGTAGCCGTGCTGACCAGCCAGGACACCGGCTTTTCCGGCGACGAGTTCCAGCATCTTCCCGACTGTCATTCGAGAGGGGAAACCGTGGGGGTTCATGATAATGTCAGGGTTGATGCCGGAGTCGGTGAAGGGCATGTCGGCTTGGTCGGCGATGATACCCACCACACCCTTCTGTCCGTGACGCGAGGAGAACTTGTCGCCGACTTCCGGGCGACGGGTCTGGCGGGTTAGGACCTTGACGAGTTGGTTCTCGTTCTCGGTGACCGAGACCATCACTTTGTCAATGTAAGCGGGGTCTGGGAGCTTGTAGGTCATGGGCGTGGGCATGTAGGAGACGGGCCGGCCGGCGTCGGAGTTGGGGAAGCCTGAGGACATGGACTGGTCGGGCGTGGACTTGTTGATGTAGACTTCGCCGGCGTTGACTTGTTCACCGACAGCGGCGAGACCGTCGCTCTCGAGGAGAGCGTGCTTGCGGATTGGCGCATCATTCTCGTAGGTTGGTCCGCTCAGTCGGTCCTTGGTGCCGTTGGAGTAACTCTTCAGGTTGGTGACGTATTTCCGGAACACCTGGCAGCGTCCGAAGCCGCGGTCGACTGATCCCTTGTTCAGGACCAAGGCATCCTCAATATCGTAACCAGAGTAACTCATGACGGCGACAATGGCGTTCTGTCCGGCAGGAAGCTGGTCGTATTTGGTCAGCTCAATGGTGCGAGACTTGACCATGGGCTTTTGCGGGTAGACCATGAGGTACAAGATCGAGTCGATACGCAGGAACTGGTTGGAGGCGATCGCACCAATAGCTTGTTTACCCATGGCACATTGGTAGGTGTTACGGGGGGATTGGTTGTGATGAGGGTAGGGAATAAGACCGGCGACTGCACCGAGGACTGTGAAGGGTTCAATCTCCAGATGGGTGGTGGTTTCTGTGATGTCTTTCTCGTAGATGGAGATCAAAGAATCGTTCTCTTCGTTGACATCAAGATACTCAACCAGACCTTGGGCAAGGAAATCATCGAATTGCATTGTACCATTACGCAGCTTCTCGAGGTGCTGGGCATTGACACGAGACTTGCCGTTTTCAACGACGATAAGAGGTCTACAGATTCTTCCATCGTCGGTCGCGACATGGACGGCCCTCTGGTGGTGGTTGATGTAGATACTGACGAACTCAGAAATACGTCCCATCCGACGCAGTCTGCGGAACGCATCAAGGAAATATTTCGGACGACGTGTGAGTGCAGTGGGTGTTCCGTTGATTGAGATCGTGTAGCAGCCAGGCCCATAGAGCTCCTTACCACCCACAGTCTGAATGTCTTCGGCGCCGAGCATGAAAATCAGGTTCCTAATCGGGCCCTCTTCGTCGTTGGTTGTGATATGGGTCATGAGTGCCAAGTTCTTGACGAGACCACAGGCCTCACCTTCGGGAGTATCGGCCGGACAAAGCATACCAAACTGCGAAGGCTGCAATGCACGAGGACCAGAGACCTTTCTCGTCTTTTCGAACTGACTGCTAATACGGGTCATCATACCCAGAGCTGCAATATAACTCAGTCGACTGAGCACGTGGGTCACACCAGCACGTTCCATGCGGAAACGCTTCAAACTCCAGTTACCCGTCGAGATAGCACGATTCATACCCTGGGTGATATGGTTGCTATGCATGGTAATGACACTGTAAGCATCAAAGGCCTCGGCACGGTTGCGCTTGTTCAGCACTTTGTCGATGTTCATCTTGATGTCGAAGCAGAATTTCTTGAACAAATCTTCAAAGAGCAAAGCCAGCAGTTGACCAGCCAGTTCCAGGCGCTTGTTTCCGAGATAATCACGGTCATCAACCAAGCTGGCATCGTTCTTGGCCATAAGCACACGACGCGCCATGTGCGCAACATAGACGGCCTTGGGCCGGAAGTTCATGTTCTTCACTTCAATGTGGGAAATGATGACAGAGGCAATGGCCTCGACGGCTTCCTGAACATGGGTACGGCGGTAAGAAGGCGACTGCTTGCGGTTGATCTTAATCCGAGCACCAATCCAATCCAGAGCCTGTTGTTGGGTGTAAATACCCAACTTGATCGCCTCCTCGAAGTTGATGGCAAAGTCTTCCTGGTAAACCTTGTCGACACCCGCGACCAGCAGAAGCATCTCCTTGTCTGTGTGAATACCCATCGCCTTCAAAAGAATGACGATGGGAATATCCTCGCTGAGCACGTTGTGCTTCACGTACAGCTTGTCCTTCTTGAGAACGATGTAACTCTTCGACTTTCTCTCGTTCGAAGAACTGTAATCATATTAACATCATAACCCTCGACGATCAATCACGAAGACCTCTCACCTTGTAACCGAAGCCTGGACAATCTCCTTCTTGGGGTCGGTTTCAACAATAATTCTGTTCTTGCTCAACTGTTCCTGGACGAGAATGACCTTCTCCGTTCCGTTCACGATAAAGTAACCACCAGGATCCAAAGGACACTCGTTCAGCACCGTCATCTCCGCCGGCGTCTTGTTTGCCAACACACACTTGGAACTCCGAAGCATAACCGGCATTCTACCGATGGCGACACCCTTCCTCATGACCCTTTGACGGCCACGGACATACTCGAAATCGACCTGAATGGGAGCCGCGTACGTCGTATCACGCAGGCGACACTCTTGCGGGGACACGGTCGAATAGGTGAAGTCGGCTCGCGCATCCTGCGGTTCGTCGGCACGGCGCGGGAAACCCAAGTAGATATTGGTGAACTTGATGTAGAAGGTATGGTCGACATCGCTTCGAATTGTAGAGCTGGACTCGACAATCTTCTTCAATTGAACCTCAACAAGGTAGTTGTATGAGTCAATGTGCTGCTTCACCAATCCCTTGACCTTAAGGAAAGCCGGCAGAAGGTTCCATTTGTCTTTCGCGGTGTTGATCGGATCCGTGAGGGACTTGTTGTAGTAGAAAGGCTCCAGAAGCGCATCAAATGGATCGCGATGACGGTATGTAGAATGCGAATGCTCGTGCTCCTCGGTCGACTTCTGCTGCTGTTCCTCCGCACTGGGTGGTGGCGGTTGTTCGGCTCGGGGAGGTTGTGCGGTCTGGGAAGGGCGTCTGCGTTTCGTAGTCTCCGCGGCACCTGGCCTTGAAGATGCTGCACCCTATATTATCAAGAGCCGTTAGCCTAGGACCCTTCTCTATCGGAAATCGTAAAACACTTGATGCTTGCCTCGGAAGGTTGCGCAGATCGCAGGTTCGCCGCAGAGATCGGCGCTCTTCTGCGGGGCGGCATCGCTGTTCAAACGGTGATTATCTCCCCCAAGAGGAACTGAATACTGCCGTATGCCAAGTGTCAAGGTGTAGGGGAATATCACGGCATTCTGGGGTGACGGGCACAATTTCTTCTTTATCAGCGAGGGGAAATATCCGGGCTAAATTCCAATTCGGCAGAATAATTGCTTAGGTAATGAGCAGCTATCCTGGAACGGTTAGCCTACTGTTTAGCTTACAAATTCATAGGCTAACTGGATTTAGTAGGTATGTATTTCTTATCTTATCGGCTATGGCAGGCTGCACGGTTACGTTTTTGGCATGTGCAGCTAATTAGTGCATGTGCATGACATACATATAATGTTTCTTCACAGTTCTGGTCAATTATCCCTGGGCTGTCTGGGTAATAGGTCCGAAGGCCTTCAACAGTGTTTTGGACAGCGATTTAGATCTGAATGCCTCCTCAATCTCGTCCAAGGATTGTTCTTTTGTTTCGGGCATGAAGAGGGCGCAGATGAATGCCGTAATTAGGGTGCATCCTCCAAAGAGAAAGTATGCACCAAAGCTGCACTTTGACAGTAAAATGGGTGTCGTCAGTGCGACCAGAAAGCTGGCGGTCCAGTTGATGCCATGTGCCAGGCTAGTAGCCGATGCACAGGTCCTTTGTGGTTGTATCTCTGCTGCATAGATCGCAATGCCAACTGCCCGGCTGAGAGAGTATATGACTGCAAAAATATAGATGCAGACAATGACCACCCACCGACCTGCACCAGTTGAGTTGTATACGGCATTCCCTGCGTAGAGGCCCCCTATCAAGAACATTGTGACGGCGAGGCCGATGCCACCGTAGATACTGCTGCGTCGTCGGCCCCACCTGTCCGCCCATATGAGCGCCGGAATGGTTACGGCGATGATAACTATTGCAGAAACACCAGAGGCAAAGAAGCTAGCATCTGAGGAAGCTAGGCCTGCTTTCTCAAAAAGCAATGGGGCATACTTAAAGCAAATGTCAGCAGGAGACGACAATAGGTATAGCCGGAAAACCCACATAGAGTACACCATCAAATCCGCTGAGTTGCTGCATGCCCATGAGAAACACCGCCAAAAAAAGGGCGTGTCCGTACATCTTTGGAACTCAGATCGAAAAACTTGTGCTCTACTAATCTGTCTTGACGTCGGGATGCGGACGGAGCATGTTTGTCGCTGGAAGCAGGAGGGACGCCCTGAGTCTGCTCAATCTCGGCCTTTTCACGTTCAGCCTGGCTGACACCAAGGTGGTCCCAAACTGTAGTAGCCTCCACTCCGGCCGTGGAGGGTCAACCATTTCGGTGAGGGATATCACCACAGGAGTGAAGCTACAGGGAAGGTAGTAGCCAGACAAGCCAAGATAATGAAAGGCGTGCGCCATGAATAGGAAGACTTCATACGAGAAGTACCGTAGCATGTAAAGAACCCGATCGTCAACCCTAGAGTAATCAGCAACTGGGGCCCGGTCGTCAATGCTCCTCTAACCCTCGGCGGAGAGATTTCGCAAATGTAGCTGCCGATCAATCAGAAAACAAGAAACCAAAGTACCACAGTTCATAGGATGGTCACATACACGACCAGGGTTCCAAGATATAATCTCTCACCTATACCCTTAATGCAACGTCCCACAACAAACATCCCGATATGCACAGCAGCCGCCTCTAAAGTTTCTCCAATCGCAAAGATCAGGGCACCAATGCTGATACCCTCTGGCCTTCCCCGTTTGTCTGCTAGATTCCCCGCGAAGAAAGAAGAAAATGCGGCTGGAATTAGGATGGAAGAGACGATTAAGCCATGAACTGTTAATGATTGGCTGCCGAATTGTGAAACGAAGCTGCCCATTACCGTGACAGGCTCAATGATGCCAGTATCCATTCTATGGAACTTCTGTTAATGTTGTACAAAATGGCTCGCCTTAAGAGAATAGACACTTACCCAAACAGCAAGCCCCCGCAGGAGCACAGTATACTGGCTAGAACGTATCTGGGGGGTCTGTGTAATTGTATCATTGGGGCCTAGTGATAGGCGTTGGTTGCTCCTATGAGGTCAATTGACAAATAGCATACAATGCCGTGCAAGAGACGTAAGGTGAGAAGGGAGTGCCAAAGATTGGAAAACATGAAGAATGCCAACTAAGACGAACTACAAATAACCACTCGAGTCATGAGCTGTCTGGTTTGACTGATAAAGGAAGTGAGAGTGAGACCCTTTGACAGGCCAGACCCCACGCCGCCCCACCATCGACCCCAGTCTAGACCCCGGATTCGTTCGGCCATCCCATGTCCTGCGTTATTGTTGCTTTCAATGCACATTGTCATGATGGGAAAATGAGAAAAGTACTAGGAGGTGGTAGCCAGTGCTTAGCTTATCAAAGTAACTTGGGATGGACATCTGTAGCACCTCACAAGGCTGTTTCTAGAGCTCCAAATCCAAAATCCACCTTTCGTTTTTATGATACCCCACATAAGCGACTTCCGGGCACTGTGTTCCGTCGAGATTTACAGCCATATGAAAGGTCATGTTGGATGCATATGTCCCTCGCATCTGCTATGGGCCGACTTTTTGGGTAGATGCAGAATAATAGGAATGTTAAGTGATACAACTTAGCGGAGGGAATCGGGATGGTACGTGCAAACACCATTCCGGGGTGACGAAAGGTGGCATTGAAGTGATAGATCATATGCCCTTCGAACCATGATCTTTCATTGAAAAGTCTTTCCTATATCTCAACTACGTCATCTTTCGACTAAAAGGATCAGGGACAGGAACCTCAATCCACAAGTGATATCACAATTTGATGTAGCAGATATTGTTGATTCGTCTATAGATATGCTGAAGCTGGTCAATTCCTTCCATGCTAGATGGTAGTAAATGCATATATGATACTACTGCTGAGGTTTCGAGATGAAGACGAATAACGGAAGACTTAGGCGGCTTAATGCAGAGGCATACTACTAACTACTGACAACCCTGAGTGTATGTGAAGCGGTCAGCATCGGGAGTCTGTTCGAAAAGTTGTACTACCTACACCTCCAAGTGAAACGGTTCTCTGATATCGCTGGTATGTTTCAAACGACTTTCTTGCAGGGCAGCATGAAGGCTAGAGGCATCGAAACAGATAACATCAAGCTTTCATGAGATCCAAAGTTCAACTAAATAGAGAAATTCTCTGTTCAGGTCACAAGAGAACTTTCTCAAGAAGGGAAACCATTCATTTTCTGCAAATAGCCCGTGAATCCCAGAGGCTTGAGCACTGCGACTGCAGAGTTTGTAGATTGGGCTGACTCCCAGTCGAAGCGGCTGTCATTTGCGGGGTTTAAGGCGAATGCCTGAGGTAGTTCTTGCCCGGCAACATGCTGCCTTTTCGAATTATTATCAAGCCTGCTTGATGTACCATGTCGAGGCTCTTGGATAATGTGTAGCCAGTCAGCAGATCGAGTGACTTATTTATTGCCCATGCTTTTTCCGTTTGTAACCGGTGGCACTCACGTAGAACGCGCGCGCGGAATATGATAATGTCTGGTCAAGCTGCCATTTAAATAAAATGTCCTCGCCGGATTGGCTGCCTTGATAGCCAAGGTGCCCTACTACCATCCTACATGGTGCCTATTTACATGGTTACCCCGTCTTGTTAATGAGCGAACTCATGGCAAACGAAAGGATGATATGTACTAGCAAGTCTGAATATCTTCCCGCATTTACATTATTCGATCACCCATGATTCACTCATCATTTTCGATGAGCGACTTCTTTTATGGCCACGGTGGGCTCTCAGACCCTGTGCAAAATAAGCCATCATTTGGGTAGGCGTTCGTCGAAATTACCGAAAGTGGTCTATTTCGTTTTTCTTTTGTCTCCCTGTAACTGCAATATAGAATATGTTAGTATGCCCGAAGGTATCATGCGGCTAATCATTCGGGTTCCATGTTTCCCGATGCCTTATTGTAAACGATGGAGATGCCTGAGTTTAAAGTATGATTAGATTGATGCAGGCCCATCTGTCAAATGAGGACCCAAAGGGTTAGGAACAGATACGGCTGCGTCAGAGAAAACATTGCTCACCGGAAGTCTCAGCAGCTGCCGCATGTTATCTGGTGTGTTCAAGGGCAGCAATTTCCACTGTGGTTCCTGTATGGGGACGCAGCGGAAGTTTGAAAGTTGATTGTGCAATAGTCCCCGCAATTTCTCAGTAAGGATGTCACGACTTTGGGTTGTGCCATTTAAAACTTGGCTGCAATGTCAAAACGTGTATGCTGGTCAGGCTGTTTGATGGTATTGTCAGGCTATGGTACGGATGGCTTCATTAACCATAGATCCATCATCAACCCATCATATGGCAAGAAAGACATTGAGGTAATTCTAATAATACCCCAGATTTTCAGAACACAATCATTACGGAACGATGCAAAATGAACTTTTTGGCGGTATTCTAGGGGCGAAGAGCGCGGTTAACGTCAAGTCGGGCAGTCTATCTAAAGCGTCTTGTTAGTAGTCATCGTTCTCATTCCGGTAATACAAAGCCGCATAGCCTGTGATTTACAGCCCAGTTGATATAGATTATCCGCGCAGCTCGTGCAGCCACCTTGTTGCATACACTTGAGGCAACTCAAGCACGAAGTAGGTTACCGCTCATCCGAGCGTCATTGATGCCTGAAATATGAATAGCCTGCCAGATACACCTGCAGAATCAGGTGATGTATGCGTGAATGCCAAATCCATATTTGACGATTGGTATCTCCTACCCGTTGGTACACTTAAAAAAAAGAAGGGTGACAAGGTCCTGTTAGCTTATCAGGCATGACCCCGAGTAGTAGCTATATCAGCTGCATCTAGCCAGGATACTGTCTCCACAGATAGTCGAAGATGCCGGTACACGGAGAATTCTGGCAGACCAACACGTCTGTGCTCTTGTACAACTCAAGTCTGTGTCTGCAGGGAATCGCCATGCTCCAACTGTGGGAGCACGTCAGGTGAATACGTGACCTCCGTGGACTGGTCTTGACAGAACACCATCGAAAATGTCGCGGGAATCCCGAAATTCCCGCAAGGGATACCAATCATGCGGTGCATTGGGATAATACTCATTTGGTTCTAGCTTCTTCTGTCGTATGGTAACGGACTACCAGCTCTCCCATATGGCTGCAGTAGCTAGAGACCATACTGTCAGATTGGTTGATAGTCAGGTGCCAGCAAATGACGCCCCAATCAACGACCATACAGTTAGAAAACTGCATCCGCAGCTACAGTTAGAGATGCTGCTATAATGTGAGGACCGTTTTGAGTACTTCACGACGACCTTAAAGATAAAACGGATGAACACTAGAGGGCCGAAATTCTGGCTACATTCATTAGGGCCATTGTTCTCTTTTCGAAAGCAGGGCTGCAATTTTGGCTGCAATGTCGGCTAACCTCCGTAGTTTGCGGGGTTGGGCAACAACATGTCCAGTCTTCAGGGGATAATTGCCTTTGCCCATTTCGGAGCTGGAGGTATCCGGTACCAATTTGGTTGGAGTAGGTGTATGGAGTACAGCTGTTACTGGCTTCATGAATGCAGACTGCATATTCCAGGCAATTGGAATGGCTCATGAGATTGAAAGGTGGGTAGAAGTTGGCGACAGATCAATTCAGTCCTCTGCGGAGCATGTGGGGAGATGATACTTGAGAAGACACTACTGTGTACAAAGTATGTTTGAGGCGGTGGGCTTTCTCTTGACCGCAATTTTAGAAGCCATTGCCACTTGGCAGTCGAACCTCTCCATCGGAAAGGTTTCCATTCGACGGATTTCAGGCACGGCGATTAGTGGGCAACCACATACAAAGTAGCCAAAGCACAATGCGGAGCGGCGAAACGCCCCTCCAAAGGATGGATCCACCATCAGAAGTAAAAGTACCATATCGGACCATTCACAGCATCACGTGAGATCGACAGTCTTATCAATTCATGGCGTAGACATGCCCAGTGACGTCCATGGTGAGCGGTATTGAGTACTAAAGATATGGAGAGTCACGCGCAAGCCAGTTCCAGAAGACATGGGCCATGAGCGCAGTGGCTCTTAGCAAGAAGCGCCGGCTCGCTGTTTCATGACCCTCGGACCTATT